AATTTTTACTACCGGTTCTCAGAACTACTCAAAATTTCCGCTACTGGTTCTCCAGAACTGGTCAGAACCTGCTGAAACCCACCTCTGGTCCCCTGACCTAACCTTAACCCTAACCCTGTCCCAGGTCTCCTCTAAGCCGTAAACTGGATTTAAAACACCAAAATTGGCACTGCTCAAAAGGATGGTTGTGCCTGGAAAGCACTTACAGCAAACATCCTGCTTTTCATTTCCATTCAAGGTCATTAGGCCGGCTAGATTTGCACTGCAATGGTAAAAGCTGAATGTGGTTTTCTGTGTGAGGCTGCAAGATTAGGTCCAGTGGGAAGGAGTTGGCTGCCTTTTGCCACACCCGCCCATGATGCTGACCTGATGAAGCCAACAGATTTGGCTTTGATGAACAGTTGGCCTTGGATCCCCTTCAGCCTTACTATGCATGCATCGGTTGTTTGTTTGTTTGTTTGTTTGTTTATGTTTGTTTGTTTGTTTGTTTTTTATCCAGGCCTATTTGCCCCTGCAATCACACAGAGCAGGCTGCAGATCTCACACAGAAATAAGGTCAAAGCAAGGCACAAAATACTGAAACCAAACTGTCGAAATATATTCCTACTGCAGAAGGAATCAAAATCAAACGCCTCAAATCCCAAAGACTCACTGAAAAAGCCAACCCTTTCTTGCTTTTTGGAAGCTCAAGACTATTGGGAATGAACAGGGGAGTTTTATTCCAGAAAAATGGAGCAGCAAACACCTAATTGGTGTTTTATGCAAATAATGTTCCCCAAAGATAAGAATCCATAGGGATGCTTCCTTTCTGGATCTTTATAAACAGGCAGAAACCTTTGGGAGCTGTTGAACTATTCCATTGATCACTGTCTAGTCCCATAAAACTGTTGTTGCCAAAAATTTCCACATCATGCAGAGAACCATTAAACCATCACCAGAATTTCTCCAAAAAATGACAAAAGGAAAACATTGTTAACACAGGGAGAATAGCCACATTCACCATATGGATGGAATGCAATTTTGACTGCATTTAAATTACAGTAAATCAAATTCAGTGTTTCCCTATTTAGACCCCCTTGAACATTGGACATTTCCTTCTGCGTTATTCAAAAGGCCAATGGTATCCTTCAAAAGTTTCAAACGGACAGTGCGTCCTTGCACCATGAAATTATCTGACCTAGACTGAGAGATTCTGCTGTAGAAGAACATAAGAAGATAAGCCTGAACTTTCTCTAAGGACTACGAGTGGATGGAGTTATTCACTGTCCAAAGTAGTCAGAGAAAAAGCAACGAGGAAACTCAATAAAGAACCATCTTCCTCCTTCAAAACACTTCACAAGGTTACGTGGGATAGAAACCAGCCTTTCTCAGTTAAACACCGCTTTGAAGGTCCATAACTTGTCTTAGAGACTCTTGATCCATTAGAGTGTTGGTAAGTTAGATATATATCCTGATCACTACATCACCTGAGTTTTCTACAAGTCTGTGGATCAAAGCAGGATAGTACATCTTTCTTTTAATAAGCAACTGAATCTCTCTCAGAAAACACACTTCCTTCTCTCTTTCCTTGTGCCTATCCTTGAATACAAAAGTCCTTTAAATGTGTCAAAATGTGGAATGAAAGATGCATTCTGTTAAGGCAACTGTCTACAAAGGAATCACTGAACCATTAGTTAGCCTGCTAATCTGAGAAAACTATTACCTGATAGCACAATTAAAAAATATTATCCTTAATAATATAAGTTGGCTGGTGCCAGAAGATTGCACAGATTGATTACAAACAATGACATGACAAAGTAGCAACAAGGCTCCATTGGACTCTCTACAAAAAGGGCCATTTGCCTGCAAGCAAGAACTGGTGCCCCCCCCCCCAAAATAGACAAATAATGGAAAATAAAGAAGAACTTTGGGACCTTAGAATTCAAAGAGACAGGCACCTGTCACCTAATACCCCAAGGCCTAACTATTTTTGATATGAACAACAGAAAAAGTCTGGATAGTGGACACTGCAGTACCTGGAGACAGCAGAAGAGAAGAAAAAGAACTGGAGAAAATCGCAGAATATAAAGACCTGCAACTAGAAATAGAATGACAGTGGCAAAAGAAAACAAAGACAGTCCCATTAGTCACAGGAGCCTTGAGTACTGCAACCCCAAGGTTGCTGGAGCATCCCTTGAACATCATCGGCATTTGACCAAATCCCCCACCTGTCAACTACAAAAGGCAGCTTTACCTGGAACAGCTGACATCCTGCAACAATACCTGTGACAACATCAAATACCCGCATCTGCCTATCACAGGCCCTTGGGAAGGACTCGGGATGTGGATAAAAATGCCAAATCCAATCTAAACATCTGGCTGACTGTTTGACTAATAATAATAATAATAATAATAATAATAATAATAATAATAATAATAATAAATAGTAGTAGTAGTAGTAGTAGTAGTAGTAGTAGTAGTAGTAGTAGTAGTAAACAATCACCTTTGGAAGAGAAAGGGAAGAAAATCCATGTGCCCTAAATATTTCTTTCTTTTTCTTTCTTTCTTTCTTTCTTTCTTTCTTTCTTTCTTTCTTTCTTTCTTTCTTTCTTTCTTTCTTTCTTTCTTTCTTTCTTTCTTTCTTTCTTTCTTTCTTCCTTTCCTTCCTTCCTTCCTTCCTCCCTCCCTCCCTCTCTCTGTCTCCCTTTCTTTCTTTCTCTTTCTCCCTCCCTCTCCCTCCTTCCCTCCCCCCTCTCTCATTGAATCTCATATTCTATTTAATCTCCTGTTAATGATAATGCAGAAACTGTTCTATGTTTAAAGGCCATTTTCTGATGAGTTTGCAGTTCTTTGTATTTCCTTCCTTGCTAAAGCTGTGGTAGGGGTGGGGTGGGGAAGCAGAGAAGGGGAGGAAATCTTGAGATCCAATCTACAATTGAGAGAGTGGCATTCGCAAAGCTGGAACAAAGAGTTACTTGCAGATATGAAGAGTCCTTCATCACCTAGGTATGATGATGATCTTGGCGTGCATCCTTCTGTAGGAAACAGGAGGGGTGCAATGGGTTCCTGGCAACTGACATTCATATTTCGAGCAGGACTCCCTGGCCGGCCGAGGTTACAAAACCCCCAGGGGTCTGCCAGTCATAGAGATGTTTATTTGTCTTTAAGGAGAACCTGAACGGGCAGTGATTCGCACACCCAGTCTATTCTTTGAACATTGTCCCACCTGCTGTCCTGTGGCTCAAAGTGTCATAAAAATTAGGGCACTGGGGAGGTTTCTCCACTGAAAGGGCTTTGCACACGGGAAAGGGAGAAGGCGAGGTGGGCCAGAGGAGGGAAAGAGTTAGCAAATACTAGCCAGGGTTTCATCCTCTAAAGAAACAGCATCTCCAGCTGCTCCCTCTTCCCCCTCCCCTTCCTCAGTCAGATAAAAGGAGCCCCTCTCAAAGAGAGCCTGGAGCATCTTCTCTGAAACAGAATAGGGATACATTCTCTGGACACCCACTCAGTGACCACTAACACACTGCCTGCCCGCTCCTTCTCTGGCTGAATCCTCTGGAGGAAACATACTCTCCAACCCAGTTACTGCTTTTACCTCTTTTCTCATACCACAGCATCTTGTGAGGATGGCTTTCCATCCCAGGTTATGAAGAACCAGCTTTAAACTGTGGAGGAGAGAAAGAAAAGCCTGTCAGCTGAAATAAACGAACCCAGCAGCTCACCCCACAAAAGAGAAAGGACTGTGTGGCGAGGAAATAACCTTGGATGAGAGTGTTCCATTGGATTTACCTTTTGGAAAGTGAGAAGAACCACGGTGGCGATGGAGAAACCCAGTTTCTCACTAACGTATCCCACTAAGGAAAGGATGGTGAGATGGTGAGAAATATGGGGGATAAATATGGAATTTCACCATCCCCCCTCCTTTCCCCAACTCTCATTGAAATAGTGGCATCCAGGAGCTGCTTTGTGTCCTGGATAACCTTCACAAGATTTTGAAGCTTCAGTTCCAATTTTTTTTTTCAAATAAAAGAGGGAGTAAGAATGAACTGTTTAAATGGAAATTTGCAGCACTGATGAGGGATGCAAATATACCAGATCCTTCATCCTTTAGGGGGTGAAAAAAAACCCTCTCCATCTATTTACTTTCATTCCTGTATAATAAGATTCCATTTACATCCCAGCAAGAAGAGAAAATGGGACCACCCAGAACTGTTCCATATATAGACGGTGTGTATGGCGCATGTTTGCATGTGCATGTGCAGAACTAGCACTCATGAATCTAAAACAGTAGAGCTTACAAGGGAGAAGAGGAAAGGCTTTTGGAAGGAAGGGAGGGAGGGAGGGAGGGAGGGAGGGAGGGAGGGAGGGAGGAAGGAAGGAAGGAAGGAAGGAAGGAAGGAAGGAAGGAAGGAAGGAAACAAAACCTTTTGGGAAAGCTAAGAAGAACATGTATGCCTTTTGTCCAAGACTGAATCAGCACTACTCTGATTCAAAAGCACTTCTTCACCATTTCTCTTAACTTTTCCCTGTCCTTCTCGAGAGTCACCAAAGCACTAAGGCCAGACGTCCTTGTCTAAAACCACCACATTCTCCCATCCTAACAAACCAGTCCAAGGCTTAACCCTAAGATCAGAACTGCCCACATCACTGGCAGCTCTTCTCTGGCTTCAATCTTGGGGTTTCATCCCCTTGTACCAACACAGAAAAAAGGACACAGTCCCTGTCTGGGTCTCGCCCTGTGAAGGAACAGATGATCCCCATGAAGGTTTCCTCTCCATCTCCACCACAGCCACGGAAATGGCCAGCCCCAGAGGAACTTCCAAAGATCCCCTCGGCCTCCTTACTTTGAAATGCAACCCTCCCAACTCCAACCCCCCCGCCCACCTCCCACGCAGGGCTGGCAACCAGGTCCACCCGAGAAGGACCCTTCCAGTCCAAGCCAAAGCAACAGAGAAGCCACCCAAGAAGAAGAAGAGGAGAAAGAGGACCGGAAGATTAGGCAAAAGTTCCCTCTCACTTACGGGATTTGGGGCTGGAGCTGGTCTCCGGCGTGGTGGTGGTGGTGGTGGTGGTGCTGGCCTCTTGGAAGGGGGATAAGGTCCAGGAAGGAGCCGAGTCCTGAAGATAAGTCTTGTACGACGAGGTAGTGTACGCCGCAGTGGGCCAGAGCGGCACAGGGGGGCTCCGAGGGGCGCCGGGCGGCGGGCGGGCCACGTGGAGCGTGGTGCTGAAAGGGACAGCGACAGCCGCCGTGGTGCTGGCCAGGACGGTCGGGGGCGCCAGCGTGTGGCGCGCCGTGGTGGACCGCGGCGGGACGGCCCGGACGGGGCCCCGGGTGGCCGGGAAGCGGGTGGGCGCCTTGGTCATGGTGGTGAGCCGGGTACTGATCCGGTTGGGCGTCCTAGAAGCGGCGGCGGCGGCGGCGGCGGCGGCGTCCGTGCCGGGCGAGGCGGTGGGCTCCCCGCTCTTGGGCGGGGCGGTGGGCTGCTTGGAGAGGAAGAAGGGGTCCTGCTCGATCCCTTTGGAATCCATCAGCTCGGTGGGCAGATACTCCTGGACGGATCCCACCACGATCCACTTGAGCAGCATCAGGCTGAGCCCCAGGCCCACGAAGCCGATGAAGAGCGGCACCACGCAGAGCCACGTCTGCTGCCGGTTCCACACCAGGCAGTCGCCGCAGCGCACCTCCCGGGCCGCCGCCTCGGGCCCTCCATCGCCCGCCGCAGGGCCCCCGCCCGCCGCCGCCGCCCCCTCCTCGGCAGCGGCTGCGGCACCCGGCGGCGAGGCGACCCCTTCGCTCATCCTCCTCGGCGCCTTTCTAGCCCTCCCCCGGGGGGAAGCAGTGGCATCGAGGGCGGGGAGGGCGCAGCATGCGGAGCGGCGGGGAAGCGAGAAACGGGGGTGGGGGTGGGGGGGAGGAGAGGAGCGGGAAGATCCGACGGCAGAGGGGTGGGGGAGGCAGCCGCAGCCGGCAGGTACCCGAAAGAGCTCTTCTCCCTTCGATCCGGAGAGCGCGACACCCCTCCCGCCCTGTCAGCTACATCTCCGCGCATTCACACGACCGCTGCTGAATCAGCTGGAACGCGCGAGCTCTCCCCACCTTCCGCCAGCCGCCGCCGAGCTCTCCTCCTTTTCCCTGCGATTTCCCGCCCCCTCCCGGTTTCCTGGATTCCGGACACCCACCCACCCCCGCCCGAGAAATAATAATAATAAAAATATGAAAAAGCCCCTAAGATCCTGGGCGGTCTTCGCCAAACGGGTCCCGAGAAGCCGCGGCTTTCAGACGGTAAAGATCCGGGTCGAGGAGGTCTCGACCAAGCCAGCTTCTCCCCTTCTTTCAAAAGCAAGATCCGCAATCAGCAGCCATCCGGCGCCCGTTTCCCCAAGGAAGAAGACGGGCGCCGGGGAGAAAACGCCTCTCTTGCAGCCGCTCCTGCTTCGGGGCGACGCTTCTCCGGTCCCCGGCGGCGGTTGGCGGCCGCGGTAGCCACATTCCCTGGCTGCCGCCGTTCCTGCCTTCCTCGGTCCCTCTTCCCGAAGCGACGGAGCTCTTGCTATTCGGCAGCCCTGCCGCCAGTCCTCGGACAGCGCTTGCAAAAAGGCGAGACCCAGCCGAAGGCGGCAGCCTGCAGGGGAAGCCCGGCCGCCAGCCCCGGGGCTGCTGGAAAGCCGGCCGCCCCCGACATCCTCTCAAAAGCCGAGCCCGAAGCCAAAAGGGACTCGGATTTGGCCTCCTGACAAACCAGGCACAGGCGCCGGCGTGCCAAACCAAGCACGGAGCAGCGGCGCGGGGAGGGGGGCCAGGTTAAAAAAAATCCCAGCCAAAAAGAAATCACACAGGCGCGCTGAAAGGGGAGGGGGCGGACTCGCGCCCGCGCCTTCCCACGCGCGCACACACACCCGGGATTCAAAAGCGTTTCAGGAACGGGCTGCCCAGATTTTCCTCCCCAGCCCTTTGCCTGGAGTCTTTCTCTTTTGTATTCCTGCCGCGTGAAGGAAGGAAGGAGGGGCGGGGGGGGACGGAGGGAGGGAGAGGAAGGGGACTTTGCTGCTTGGCCAAAGGAAGCGCCCCCACCCTCCCACTTGGCTCCAAGGAGGAGCGTTGCGGGACTGCGCCCCCCCCCCAAGCCAGGAGTCGCTTCCTGGGAGGAGGTCCGGAGAGGGGCCGGTGCCGCTTCCCAGCCCCGGAGCCCGGGCGGCACTCCTGCGTCGGCAGGGCAGAAGCAGCGCGCGCGCCCACCCGCCCGGGAATGCGCGGCTCTCCGTGCGCGGGACCGCACTTGGGCAGGCGCGCCCGCGTGCATGGGGAGGGATGCATGGAAAGAGGGGGAGTGGGGAGAGTGGGTGGGCCGGCAGCTGGTCTTTCGGCGTGGAATTCCTTCTGCAGCCTGGCGGCTTCTCCAGAGCCGGCCTATTCAATTGTGGCCGGTCGGTGCTGAGGAAGGAGCTTGCCAAAAACCAAAAAAGGAGAGAAAGCAAGCTGAGGTTTCTCTTTTCGGGCGCGGGGTCCCGGGGCGGGGGCTCCGGCGAGCCGTGGGGAACCCTTTCTCCGCCGCTCCCGACTTTGGTGCCGTCTTCTGGCAAAGCGCTGCCCGCGGGACTATCCGCCTCTTTTCCTCCTCCTCCTCCTCTCGCTCCTGTTGGCAATCGCGTCTCTGCGGAGTAAGTGGGACCAAAGCGCCGTGCGGAATGTGCACCCTGCTCGGGATGGTGTCAGAAGGAGAAGGCTATTTGAATAGACTTTAGCCCGGCTCGCTCTTGGGCTGGAGGCAGGATGAAGACCTACATCGTGGGCTGTGACAGAAAGAAGACGTCGCCCTATCTGTGCCTAGTTTGGGGTGCAAGCCGAGATATGGTCTATTTTTTTCCACTCTCCGCGCTGCAATGGGAATCTAATCGTCCTAAGTATTCCTGATGGCTCCACCGAGGCGAGCTATCCGTTGACCTTTCCTGAAAGTTCTTTCAATGCATAAGGAATTAGATCATCGATTACATAATTAATTCCCTGGCTGTTCTGTTTGAACCTCTGGCAAAGCAACGGAAAACACAAAACAAAAAGAGAGACAAAATGATGGGTGGACGGTTCACTTTTCTCCTCCTCCGTGGGAGCAGGGGGTGAAGGAGCATTCAATAACAGGCGAGGAAAAAGGAAGGCAGTCTAAACAAGGGCCATGGAAATGAGAGGCAGAGCCAGAGGCGATCGGCAATGCACAGTTATTTGGGAGTAATAGGATTCCCCCTCTAGCCTTGGGACCCAGCCTGGCTGATGGCTGGAGGGAGAAAGAGCTAAAGCTCAGCTTTTGGGGAAAGGGGAAGTCTTGGTTGGCTAAAACTTTGGAGGGACAACAGCAACGTCTGCAACCTTGATGTGGTGGGGAAGGAAAGACTGTTTCACATGGAGACCTTAACAACTGTCCAGCCATCATTGCCTTCCTGAGATAAACCCTGCAGGGCAGGTCTCTCCATCCCTAAGCATAGGGAAGGAAGGCCAGGACAGGGGGAGGTTATGAAGATAAAACAAGGCACAATTTACACAGAAAAGAGGCTTATTTGCCCCCAAAATGAGGCCTTTAAGAAAAAATCAAGATGAGATGAGAGATGGTTTTATTTAAAAAAAAAAATAGAACTGAACACAAAGCAGCCTTTGCAAATCCCATTGTAGACACATTAATTAATTTATCTACCAACCTCTTAGGTAAATGGTGGATATTGCCATGATGAAGAAGCTGGACTTGAACCAAGAGAGGCTTAAAATGTACAGGTACTTCTCAACTTACAACAGCTCATTTAGTGACCATTCGAGGTTACAATGGGACTTACGACCATTTTTCACACTTACGACCATTGCAGCCTCCCCACGGTCACATGATCAAAAGACGCTTGGCAACTGGATCCTATTTACAATGGTTGCAGCATCCCGGGGTCACGTGATCCCCTTTGCAACTTTCTGATCAGCAAAGTCAACAGGAAGCCGGATTCGCTTAACAACCATGTTGCTAATTTAACAAATGCAGTGATTCACTTAACAATTGTATCACTTAGCAACAGAAATTTGGGCTCAATAATGGTCATAAGTGGAGACTACCTGCATTTATTTATGTACTAAAACAAATGTATACAGCTGCCTGACTCACTCATAGGTGATTCTGGGTGGCTTACAAAATTAAAAAAATCCTCCCTTTCATAAAAGTTCAAATTCCCACTCAGCCACATATCTCAAAGCCATATATGACTTTGAGCCACATAGAGCTGCTCCTGGAATGAAACAAAGAGGCATCTTCATTTTTGCTCCTTGGAGCTCCCAAGCAGGTGGGGGGGAAATCAATGCAATGGAGTCAACAACAGATGGATGGGATTATCAGAATACATTCTGATTTGGGAAATTGTAAATGAATAAAGGCAATTTTTTCTGGTTTCAACCCATTGGTGGATGGCTTCAAGCAAACCCTTGGCTACGTGGACTAGAAGACCTCCAAGGTACCTTCCAAGTCCGTTCTTCTGTTGTTCCAGAATTATTCTGTTGTTCAACAGTTCTGCTCTTGATCTAAATCTTTCCAGGATTCTGCTGATACTTAGTTTTGCTTGTTGAGAAAACCGTCCACTTAATTCCTCCCTTTTGACTTGCTGGGCTATGTGTTTTCAACTTTCATTGTGTGTGTGTGGCAATGACCTGGGTCAGTACTGTATTTTTTGGACTATAAGACACATGTTTTTGTCTCCCAAAAGGGGGTGAAAATATCTGTGTGTCTTATAGACTGAATATTGCTGAAGCCCCACCCACCCACCGGCCATTTTTTGGCCTCCGCACACCCCGTTTTCAGGCCTCTTTTCTGGCCTTTTTCAGGCCTTTTTTCAGCCTTGTTCAGGCCTTTTTCTGGCCCGTTTTGGGCCAGAAAAAAATAGGCTTTTTTAACCCATTTTTGGGGCTTTTTTCAGCCTGTTTTTGAGGCTTTTTTGGCCCATATTCGAGACTTTTTTCAGCCCATTTTTGAGGCTTTTCTTGGCCTGTTTTCCAGGCTTTTTTGGCCTGTGTTTGAGGCTTTTTTTGGCCCATATTTGAGGCTCTTTTGGCCCATTTTTGAGGCTTTTTTCAGCCTGTTTTTGAGGCTTTTTTTGGCCTGTTTTCAAGACTGACTAACGAGTCAGTCGTTAGCCTGCAGTGAGAGATAAACTTTTTGGCAGGGCTGCCGACACTCCTAATGAAAGGAATCTTTGAGTTCACTTCAGAGGGTTTGTCGTGTTTGGGGAGCTGGGTCAGAACAGGTTGGTACAATGGGAAATTAATATATCTTCTGGACACCAAGACTAGCCCTCCAAATGTAGGCTAGTCTGCTCTATTGTGTTCTCCGTGGCTACCTATGGTTGTGAAATTTGGACCTTAAAAAAGCAAGACAGGGAGAAAATCAATTTGTTTGAGCTGTGATGCTGGAGGAGATTCCTGCATGTTCCTTGGACAGCAAAGGTAACTAACAAGCAAATACTGGAGTGGATAAGACCAGACATGTCACTGGAAAGCAAAATCATGAAACTGTGCCTCACTTACTTTGGCCATGTCAGGCAGGGAAATTCACTGGAGAAAGCAATTATGTTGGGAAGAGTAAGTGATAAAAGGAAACCAGACAGTCAAAGAACATGGTGCCTGGACACCATCAAAGCTGACACCAGCCAGAGCATGGAACAACTCAAAGTCCTGCAAGATTGGAAGATATGGAGAGAGCTGGCCCACAGAATCAGCAAGAGTCAGACCTGACTGAATGGATAACATCATCATCATCATCATCATCATCATCATCATCATCATCATCATCATCATCATCTGGACCAAGAAAAGTAGAGAATGTATCTATTATAGGTAACAACGTATAATATGGTCTGACATTGATTCTGCCTTGATTCTTTGTTAAGGATATGCAGTTGAATCTACTTTCCCATTTTTTAAAGGTTTAGCTCCTTCTACTTTTGAGTCTTGTTGGAGGGCTTTAATTCAATAATTTTACTTTTCCATCCTCTGGCAATTCTGATATTATTTTCTGATAACTTCCAAAAAGATTCAGATCTTTTTCATTGTCCATCCTTTTCCACAAGAAGCAACACTGTTGAGTGTTTGACCCTTTCCTTTATTGTTATCTAAAAGATTTTAGATTTAGATTTAGATTTTATTGAACTTCTATACCGCCCTTCTC